CCTGACCCAATAACCCATGAAAGATCATTTCAGCTCTTCAACATTTGGAATCTTTAAAAACTAGCCTCAGCATAGGGCTCTAGTGAAACGAGAATCAACGACTTTAAGCAATGAGTTACTAATTGAAAGTTATGTAATGTATGACATGTCATGACGGAAGAGGATCTAAAAAAGTAAGAGTAAGGCTATACTCTAACAGAAATGGCAGTTACCACAATTTTTATTTATTGAGGCATAGATATATCACTAACAGTGTTTTTTGTTGGTAGTCATTATTTGTTTGACAATATGATATTTGAGAGTGCCTAACCTTTCCTGCACTATGAAAAATTAAAAAGACGAGATCTGTCGTGTTTACATGCAAGTTTTTTTGTTTGTTGCGCAGTATTTTGCTAAAAAAACCAAAGGACCGCTTTCCATAAACGAAAGCGTAAAAGGAATACACATAGGTAGTCAGCAATTCTTTCACTGTACTTTAAACAGGGCACTGACGCTTCTAAACTATTTACCCGCGTGATTGTGGCTGTTTACCCGCGTGATTAAGGCCTATATCTACAAAGCAAAGACCGCGTGTAGCAATAAGAAACCTTTGCTTTCTTCCTGTGCTTTCAGGAATACACATTCACTGTTCAAAATAACAATTAAAAACCATCCTATTTAGCACACCAAAAAGTGTAAAGATCTGTGTACATGGTATCGAGCACAAACCAGTAAACAACAACCCTCATTAAAATCTCTCGTTCTATCGTTCGAAAATCCCATACACCTATCATCGACACCAAATATACGCGAAAGGTAAAGTTCACTTCCAATAAGAGTATTCCGCATAAAAAACCGGAAAATTTCTTTCTTGGACTTTTTTCTTTGGGGAAGATTCCATTAAAATTCTCAAAATCGGTTTACATGAAAGTGGAAAACCCAAAACTTGGGAAGACAGAGCATGTTTTTCACACGGGCTTTTCAACTAAATGATCGACTCGAAAACACGGAACCAACAAGAAACAGCTTTTCTCCAGCCTTTTTTTCGATCCGTTTCTGGATATAATTTTCCGTTTAGCTTATGTGTCGGACTTTAACCTACGTTTAGAAAGCCGTAATACTGTTTCGTGCAATAAGATTTGAGAATTATCTTGACAATAAAGAGGACCTCATTCTATGTAAGCCCTTAAAAGTACCGAAGATTATACCCCTATGGGGATGCACCAGATCTTGCATGCAGACAAGAAATAATGAAAAGAAACATAAGTATCTTCAGAGAACATAAATACGAGTATAATTATATAAAAAACATTAAAGCTGTCCCAGCACAATAACAAAGCGGAAAACTTCACGAATGCGAAGGAAGCTTAAACCATTGACAAATTGCAAATCTTTAAGCTCATAAGATATAAACGACTTTATAGTACGTCAGTTCCCTGAACAGTAGAATTACTACTGTGAATTGTTAATTGTTAACTGTTGGAGCATTCAGTCTTGACCGTCCTCCTTCGCAGAGGAGCTCTCGCTTCTGCTTCGGCTATACGACCGAGTATACCTGGGCGACGGGCTCCTTGATTTTTCACTTGACGACCTCTGCCTGGCATTCACAGGTGATTTACTCGCTGATCGTGATCTCGAGCGGCTGTAGGAGCGACTTTTCTGTGATTTCTGTGGTTTGTGAGACTCGCGTCTTTTTGAGTGTTTTCGTTTGGGGCTCCTTGAATGACTTCTCCGGCGAGGGCTTCTTGATCGCGAGCGTGAGTAGCTCTGCTTTCGTCTATGAAAAAAAAATCGATTTTCAAAATTTTTAAGTAATCAAACCAAAACAAAAAGTTTAACAGTTTAGCTGCGACTCTTCTTGAGGTTCCCTCTAAAGTTAACATTTAGTTGTTAGCTTTTAGTTGGTACCATAAATTCTTAGCATATTGGGAACAAGAAAAATATAATATATCAGAAATCTAAAACTGATACAAAATCACCAAAGCAATTATTTCTACCAGTGGAAGTTCTTGGAATGTGATGCTTATTGTCTCAATTTTCAATTTCATTATAGTTTTAAGGCCTTGTAACACAGTCAGATGATCTCATCAGAAATTCAGCATAAATTAACATTGTTGAATATTCTATTGTTAACTATAATCTTTTTATTCATTTTCATGCATGGCTAGAGCAAAAGTTGCAACAGAAAATGTATTCCTGTTTTTGACAATGTCAATACCTGATAAGTATCTAGTGAAAAAATTTGACTGCGTAAAAGGGTCTTAAAACTATTATGTAAGTAAAGTCAACACATGATTGAAGATGTACTTTTTATAGGAAAACAATTTTCAATCGTCTTAGAGGGTGTGGTCCTAAGGAAAACTGTCTAAGGGGACCCCCCTTGTATCCCTTCTGTTTAAAGACCATGTTGTTGCTCCACCAGTGTTTATAATCCAAATATATAACCCTAAATTCTATAACTTTTGTGAAAAATTGTGTTCAATCTAGTTGAAAAACTGAGAGCAAGTCACTTACCTGCCCCGATAGTATCCTTCCCCACCACCAAAGAATCCCTTTCTTCCCTTGTCTCCCTTTGTTCTCATTTGATCTGGGGCTGCAAAAATACAAGAAACAACTAATTTACCTAGAACTAAAAATACAGGAAAGTTTGTTATGTCAAAAACAGTATAAAGAGTTTCTAAAAAATGGGATTGGGGAAAAGCTGTAAAACTGTTTTAGTTATGTAAATTAAGGAAACTTTTATAAAAAAAAGCCACAAAAATCTTATGAAATGTAAATAAGTGGAAAAATTGGAAAAGCTGAGCTTGTAAAAAATGCACATAAATCGACTTATGATACCAGATAAAAAGACAAAGTTGCCAAAACCTCACAGGATAGAAAGCAACTATTTACTATGAACTTAAGAAATCTAGATAAAAGCATGAAGATTCCTTAAAACATTTATTTCTCCATCAGAATTAACCTCTTTCACTCACTTTTTCGATTGCCATCAGCAAACTGCATCTCAAGTTCTCTTCCAAATAGAATAGTTCCATCAAGATCACGTAATGCATCTTCAGCATCACGCACATCATCAAACGTAAAAGGAGTTAAGACATTAAACTAGAAATAAAACAAGTACCTTTTTGCAGGTAAATCTCTATTAGCAAATACTCTGGGTCCTTTCATATATGGCTCTTTATCTCTAACTCTATCTCTAAAACCACCTCTTTTTGCTATTTAAGCAACACTTTATCTTAAATATGGGCATCCATTTTGTAGTTAGACTCTCAAACCTCCTGAGCATCTCTGAAGTGATCTAACCCCTGCACATTTGGTCTCTGATGGGCTCTAACCCTGGCACATTCTCTCTACTTTTTCACATGCTCTACTTTTGGACTTACAATATCATAAACCCTTGTACTACCTTATGCCATCTTTGCTGTCTCTACATTCTCTGGAAGCCTCATCTTTGTTGTGAAATGAAATGAAATTTCAACTCTTTAGAAGCAAATTCTGTTTAATGTGATTCTTCTTTCATCACTCTCCTTTTGCTCAATGCTCTGAATCAGGAAAAAGACCTCTATTTTCTTTAGAAAAGATCTCTATTCTCTTTTAATCTTTGCAAGCTTTCACTCCCAGTTAACTCTATAACTATTACCTGTTAGAAAGTACCAATACGTGAGATTGGAACAAGAAAAGTCTTAGGTATTAAACAAATAATAGCCCTGAAATACAGGAAAAATTCTAAAAATAATTTCAAGAACAAAAAACTCTATTCCTTGAAGTTTATTGCTGAATTAATTTCTATCAAATTAACAATGGCTGAGTCTGGTATGTTTCTTCAATCAGTTTTATTTAATAAAACTCATTTAAACAATAAAAATTAAAAATCTATGTGACTCAGCAGTAATCTTGTAGTGGTAAGATTTTGCAAAACTGTTCTCCAATACTTTAAATTCTCGAATTGGCCACCCTCAAAAAAGCCCCCCCTCCAAAATAAGCCCCTACCCTTAGAACTATAAAATTGTCAATAAGCCCCCCCCCTCAAATAAGCCCCCACTGCTACTGTAAATTCTCAAATTTGACCCCTCAATTTGATGATTTTTGCCATCTGAGGTTGCTATGGCGTTTTATTGAATTACCACAACAAATTCATACTTTTGATAATAATTAATTAAATGCTCATAAAGACATTCCTACTAAAACAAACGAGGTCTATTTATAATGTCTTCTTAGTGTCTACAATAATTTTATAAGCTCCCCCTCGTATAAGCCCCCCCCTCGTATAAGCCCCCATCCAAAAATATTAAAAATAAATAAGCCCCAGGAGGCTAATTCGAAGATTTACGGTATTAAAGAAAATAAACAATCTTTGTGTAACTTTCACCAATTTTCCCTTCAGATTTACAACTTGTATACAGCCTTTTATTAACTGAGATTCTACTGAAGGTCAAAGAACAGCAAATACTCTAAAAGCATTGATAGAAACAAAAACCTATCTAGTTATTAGCAATAAACATTTTGATGTTTAAAAACAGTTGCTCTCTTTTAGGCAGCATATCTATTGCATACTTTGTAAAAAAAATTGAACCAATCCATGAACTGGAGAATATTTCAGTATATATACATACATGTTGTGTTACATTAAGTTTGCATAAAAAACAGCTTAAATTTCAGACATAAGAAAAGGATATTGTACATATGCAAATCCTCTAGGTTTCCTGTGATAATAGTCCAGAGGGATGTAGACATCTGATATTGGACCATACCTTCCAAAGAGCTTTCTCATGTCCTCAGCCCTAAAAGCAAGTCATCACAAATTTGCATTAAGGAATGTTGCATAATCCATTATAATAATTTGTGCCACTGGAACCCAAGTGACAGAAAATAACAGCTGGGTATAGGGCAAAAAATAACAGCTGGGTATAGGGCAGTTGAATTAAAGGGGTGCAAGCATGTTTTTTTATGATCCCAGAAAATGTCTGACACTCATCTTTATGAAGGTAATTGAAGCACTTGTTCAAGGGTAGGAATTTGACTTTTGAGCAAAATTCAGGGAACCAAGGCAACAAAGAAAATGAAACATCAATTTTAATTTATTCAGAACTAATATGCATTCAAATATAATTGTTTACACATAATAAAAGCTAAGTCTAAAATAAATGAAATCCTCTATAAACATCTGGTCTTCTACACATACAGGGAAATACAGGCATTCCTCTGTAAACAAACCCCCATAGGACATAGATTTCATGTGCTACATTCCATGCACTACTCTAGAAAATACCAGAAATTAAAAAAGTATGTATTATCCTGTCAGGCTCATTCTTAATTTCTAGTATTTTAAAATCCACTTTTCAGCAATGCTTATTTCAACAAAATTGGAACAGCTTTATTATTATCTGACCTCTTAAAGAAGAATAATGGCAATCTACTTCTTTGGTTGGGCTAGAGTACATAGTGCAGGAAGGACAAGCCCTATGTCTTGTTTCCTCCATGTAACTTTCAATAGTATGAAGACTTTTTTGTTCTTATGTTCAAAGCTGTTTAATGATGATTTCTTGTCATAAAGCTAGCAATTAACGAGTTGTGTCTAAAATTCTTCTTTCATATGATATAAACACCTTGTGCATGCATCTCCCATACTCTGCCAGCTGAGCCATGGCCACTCTCCATTTACAATCTTAATTATAATATCCTTTTCCTGTCTGTATACTTTGTGGCGAGGCAGTCATACCTACACTATATATACTATAACTGCTAAAAAGGTCTACATGCCAGGGCATTTTTAAAAAATTTGCAATAACCTTTGCTGAAGGATATTCTGGAAATGATTTGAAAGTTCATACCAGACTGCAAAGTTTGGGTATGCGCTGGGAATGTGCTATAATTTTCCCTCAAATCCCATCTGTGCACTGTTGCAAATTTGGATTAATTTCTGCACATGAAACACAGACTCTTGTGTGAATCCTGGACACAGCCTCGCCACAAGGCTTGAAAAAGCTATTTAAGAATTAAAATCCTGCAGCTTTTAATCTGCTATTTTGCAACATTATTGTATTGTATTGTAGATTATTCAACATTAGTTTTTACAATAGTGAATATACACTAATTAAGACTAACATGAAGCAATTTCAAGGATTGCATAAGAAAGTTCATTTACTGCAAAACGAGCATGCGCACTTGTTTTCAAGGAACCAAGTTTTCAAGGAACCAAGTTTTGATCAAATTCTTAAATTGTCTAGTATTTTGTGCTGTCTTTATTGATTCCGGGAGTGAATTCCAGACTTTAGACCCTTGAAAATTTAATGATCTGATACCATTATTGGTAGTTCTGGCTTTTGGAATGTCGAGGGGGTTTTTGAGTCGAAGGTTATGACCTGTTGTTTTGGGTACAAAATAGTCTTTCATGAAAACAGGATTAAGGTTGTTAAGTGTTTTATTAAACTTCGAGCGCTAAAATTCTAACTGATTGGACATGTATGGTAGTTTCTTTTGAGTTAGCAAGTAAATCTTCGTAAGAAGATGAATAGTCCGAATAGGCTAGTCTTAATGCCCTCTCGTTAATTTTCTCTAGCTTATCCTGACTTCCTTTACCACATAGCATCCATATCAATGGACAATAATTGAAGTGACACAGTATAAATTAATTCATAATTATCTTTTTTTCTCTGTCACCCATAAATCTTGCCAATCTTTTCAGAGAATTTAACTGTTTAGCTGCTTTTTTACAGATCTTATTGATATGAGCATCAAACTTTAAATTTTCATTGATCTGAACACCAAGCAAAGTAACGTTTTTCTCTATTTTAATTGCAAATTTTTGGTCAATTTCAAACTCATTTATGCATTTATCTTTGCTGCCGATTGTGATAGTTTGAAATTTAGAGGGATTTGCAATCATTTCATTAGATTAAAACCAATCAAGGCATTTTTGTTGTTAATTTTTACAAGTTCCCATGCAAGCTTAAGCGGCAGAAAATAATTCCCTGCATGCAAAAAATACTTTGTACTTTGGAGTTAATATAGCCTGGTATCTGAAACCTAAACATTATCAGATTTGCCTTACTTGTGTCAGAACTTATCATACAATTGATGTCCTGTGTTTAAATCAAGGAATTCAAGCTTTGTTTGCTAATGTCATCAATTTTGCATCTTGCTATCTACAGACTTTTCTCAAAAATGGTCTTCAGATTTGAAATCTCCATATCTTGAGATTAGTCAACACTGAAAACTTTTTGTTGTATGGGCTGTTCGGTTGCGAGTTACTTCAATTTGTATATTTACACATTTCTTTAGATTTGGCCGGAAGATGCTGCTGTATGAAAATGATTCAAATTCTATGATCCATTTTTGGCAAATGTGAAGATAAAAAATTGCCCGGAACAGATAATTTGTCATTTTTTATATTGATCCCATACCTTAAAAAAGCTCCATCAGGTAAATTCTTCAAAAATTCAAACAATGTTTATTAGTTGAAAAAATCCACATTTCGGTAACAATAAAGTGAAACTTTTCTAATCTGAAAATAACTGCAAATAATGATTGGTAAATTCCACATGTTCATTACATTGTATTGTTCATATTTCATCGTTCGTTTTTGGAGTGTAGTCTTCAACGTATCCGCGAAAAAGCCAGGATAGATCAACTGAAGCTTTTCATTTTAAAAATTTAAATGAAACCAATGAGTATTCAGTATGGATCCAGAAGGTTTTAACCTCAAGACCTTGCCTTAGGCGAATTGACTTGGCTTCCCGTACATTAATTATGCCGTCTTTGTCAGTCACAAGTTAGAGCAAATCATTGAACTGGATACCTAGCATAATCAAATAAGAAATAAATAACATTCAATAAAATATTGTATTACAACAATTACCGTGTGTCATTGTGAATATTTCTTACAAACAATGAAGTATTCGGTGGTCTTCGATATTTAGACATGGCTGCCAGTACCCGCTTCTTCACCGTAACGGATTTAACTAGTGGGTTGCGTAGGAGCAGTTGCTGAAGAGCCTAAAATTGCTCGCGCATGCGTTAATTTGCATGCTAATTCTCGTTTTCATGCCGAGAATTAGCATGTAAACAAGCTTCGTGAAAGTTTAATGTGCATTGGAAAATATTTCTTTGCTTAGTACAATTGCTACAATATTGCTGCATTTGTCAAAGGAAACTCTCAAAACAAACTGGGCGTCCATAAAAGAGCGGTAGTACTCGGGAAGTAACGGCTACAAGAATGCTTCCAAGTGCTGACTTGTCAGGCTTATTGTATTTTGCGAAAATTTTCGCATAATGCGAAAATGCGAAATTTCGCAAAATACAAGTTTCGAGGTGGTATTTTGTAAAATGCGAAAACTGATTCTAAAAACTTTATTTGCCCAGATCAACGACCGAAAACAAGCAATTCATATTCAGGGCGACTCTGTTCATGCAAATAGCCTAGTTCGTTTCCCATTTAACGTTAGATAACTCATGGACACATTTTGGAAAATGGTTCAAAAACCAACCACACCAAGGCCATGAACGGCCTAATTGTGAATTGCCCATTCCAGCGAAAGACGATAACAGTAAGCATCCCGGTGCTTGCTAATTGGTAATTGGTAAATACCCAACATTCTGCGTGTTCTGTGTTGTTTTAGGAGTAATTTACGCCTTTATCCACAAGGCCTATTTTCCTGTTTCCTTCCCGGTGAAGCCCGCGTGGCTGGAAAAGGACGGGGGTGATGTCAAAAGATTTTCGCAAAATACAAAATGGCTGGGGGTTTTTGTATTTTGCGAAAACTCGCCAAACATTGTCGAAATGTTAGTTTTTATTTGAGAAAATGTACGGAAAGGCTTTGGACTGTATTGAAAATCTTGTCAATTGAGTAGGCATCAAAAGATTCGATCAAATTAAAGAATTTTCGCAAAATACAAAATGGCTGGGGGTTTTTGTATTTTGCGAAAACTCGCCCAACCGATAAAATTCAATCACATGGAATGTCACCAGATTGGTACAAATAGGCACCCAGGAAGTAGAACAAAAGAAAAATGTCATTATGAATGAGAAGAGGGAAGTCTTCACACGTTGATGACACAAAT